AATTGCTTTCCCTTTCGACGACTATAGTTAGACGCTTCCGGAAACTGCAGTATGCACGTTTTAAAATGTTTCGATCCATAGATGTCATCACTGCCTTGATTTTAGCTTTTAGCGACTTAAGTGTGGTGTGAGGGGTTCTATTGGTATCCCGTTGGACGACGCCCTATACAAAATAATCCAACGGATTGATATCGGGACTGCTTGGGGGCCAAATTTCTTCCTCCCAAATTTACTAAATATTTTCCGTATGCCATTTCTGTGCTTTATTAGCAGTATGAGCAGGTGCTCCGTCTTATCACTTTCCCAAGCCTTTTTTAATATTATACACTGTTCTTTCAGACACATTTACCGACCGAATTATTTCTTTCATGCATACTCCGGCGCGCAGCAAAGCGACAACGGCTGACAGTTTGCTCTCTTATTTCGACATCTTTACGTTTACGCATTGTTTGTTTACCTAACAGTATAAGCTATCCAGTGCTGCCAAATATATCTAAATCATGATGCACAAGCATGAGAAATTACTATTTGAAATTTACTGCAAAAATTCGTCACGCACCCTGTACTTAGTGACATGCTATTCATCGTCATGAGCAGTGACTCGTTCCCGCTTATCTGTTCCTCACGCAGAATTCGTCATCGTCATGACCCATAGTCTCCAAGGTTCGGCTCAGCTTTTCCTTCTCCATCCGCGTTCTTTCCAATTCTTCCTTCATTTTTGATAATTCGTCCTTTAGCTTTTCCGTAACCTTTCGTTTGGATTTTCTGTAAAATTATAATAATTTTCCTTAATGGCTTGGATACCTGACCTTTTTTTCATAAGCTTTAAGAAGTTAAAAATTGGTCCAAATCGACTTCCTAGCAAATTACAGTAAGAATCCGAAGGAACGAAGAGGAACTTTCCAAATCGGTGTCAATCCAGGATTAACCCGATGGATCCTCACAAAGATTCGAAGAGGAATATGAAACAAGCTTATTCTATCTATTAAAAAAACATCCGCCATTTCCATCGGAGTTTCCTTAATATTCCCATCTTTTCAATTGGAATATTATTCAACTTCAACTCTTCCCTTTTTATAAGAGTCCATTCATACTGAAATTATTGAACTCTTCCTTTTCCATAAGAGTTCAAGTATATATTTCACCTTTCTTATTGAAATATACCTTTGATATCTGCTTATTTCATATCATCTCATGATTTCTCACAATTCCTAAGCTCACCTCTTGATAGAAGATTCGACATAGTCACCGACTGCGCCATTGTCGTAACTGGGCATCATCCTGCTCTAGATTTGGCTGGATGTGCATACTTATTCAAATAAGAGAGCTTTCCGTGCCAAGTTCTCGATCGTAGTAGGCTGCTGGTGTTGCTGATCGGTACTCGGTGCTTGCCTTGGTTACCGTTGACAGAGGGCTCGCTAGGGGACTCTCACTTCCAGGAGAAGGAGGGGGCTCGCTTGCTCGTCGTTGGGTCGGTTGGTTGCAGTTGCTGGTTGATTTGCTGGTTCGGCCGGGTTGCCTTGGTACCGTCGTTCGGTCGGTTGGACATTATTCCTGCTTTCGAATTAGATGCTACCTTTTCAGCGTCAGAATGGAGAATGACCCGCATGGACAGTACACCCTCTTTAAATAACTGATGGCTTTTACACTTCAACCAATCAGACATTGTGAAGGAGAATTCAATCTCATTAAGGAAGTTCAAATATTCTCATCGCACCTTTATACTACACCTTCGAAACATAGGAAAATCCACGAACCCCTCATGCTATCTGTCAAACTTTCATAGCGAATCAAAACAAACATAGTGTAGTACTAGAATTTCGACTAGAATGGGGTACTTAATCGAATTCCTTGGGACCAATAGGCTAGTCAAGTAGTGAGCCAATTTTAAATCGTTAGTTTTCTGACATCCTCAGCCACCCAGAAATTCGAAAAATTTCTGAACGAAATTTTCTAAAATCCTCTTCAGAAAGATGGGACTATGCGTAGAGTATAGGAGCAGGTATGTACGAAAAGGTTACATTAGTTTGGTTTTCCTCTTGGCTGTTTGGAAGTGGCAAAATGCAAATTTTCTCCACCAGACGTTTGAGTTCTTCAGGGTCACGACTCTAACTACGATGTCTTCACCCGGGTGTACAGCAACGATTCTTGCCATTTTCCAGCGCTTGGAAGGAAGGTTATCGTCTTTAATGACGGCGAGCTTGCCTACTTCAACGGGAACTGCTGATTTCCATCGCGTGGTCCTAGCTTGCAGCTGACTCAGGTATTCTCGGCGCCACCTAATACAGAAATCAGTGTTCACTCGGCTGTCGACAAAAGCAGGCCACTCTCGATGTGTGCTACTCGATTGTCTGTTTTTTCGGCAGCAACCATTGTGTGGTCCTCCTCATTGTTCTTCATCAGCAGTTCTTTCGGTCGATGCGTCGTCGACTTTGGAAAGCAACCGTTTCGTGATGAGTGTGTGAGTGCTGACCACGTTTTGCGTCCATTGCTGCAATGGACGCGCTCTGACCCTCGTTGGCGTACAACAATTTGCCATACAATGAAACTACTGGGAGCGGCTCTAGTTCTGATGGAGGAGGCTTTTTGGATAGCGGAAGATAAAGTGTTTATTGTGTTGTACCTTTTGATTATAGTTTTAAGATGTATTGTATAGTGACCAAGAATCCTCGGCTCTGTAAAGTTAATTCGGTTGAGCCTTATCAAATAAATTAATAAACAACAAATAATACAGAAATGCTGTAGATTTTGTTGCACCAACTGGCAATGATTCAACCGATTCGGTGGGATGGTGATGAGTTCAAAATCTAGGAGGGCCTGCAGCGAAGAACCGACCAGAAAGTGTGCTGGTATCAATGGTTCCAAATCGTTTGGATCGCTCGACAACGGACGGGAGTTAAGACATCTCAACCTGCGTTTGTGGTGTGGAGAAATCTTCCGATGACGCTGGGTTCTCTCCAATCACCTTGATGAATTGGTTCTTGGTCGACCGGATTGCTGCCTCCCAGAGTTCTCCGAAATGTGGCGCGCTTGGTGGATTAAAGTGCCACTGAATTCCATCCTTAACCAGTTCGCTGGTGATTCGGTCACGTTGAATACGATCTCTTAGCAAGCTGTAGAGATCTGCTAGTTTCTTCCGCGCACCAACGAAATCCGTTGTCGGAATAGATATCCGAGCACTTTCCTTTCCGTGAAACGAAACGTCGCAAGGCTTGCAGAAACCGATCCGTCGAAAGATCGGAGTTCCATGTGTACCGCTTTGGTACAGAGGCAAATGAACACCGCTACGTAGGCTTTCACGACCGCGCGTCTTAGAGCTGATCGGATGTAGACGGGGCCAAAGTAGTCTACGCTTGTTCTCGTGAACGGACTGCCATAAACTGCTCCGTTGTAGACGGTTTCGTTCGACAGCATTCACGCAACGGTGAACTACCTCCCTTCTTCGGATTTTTTCAGTCGACCTCCTACTTTGCAGATGAACGGGTGAAAACACCTCAGCGGTGACTTTCTTGATACCGAACCCCTTTCGTTAAGGCCTTTCATTCCTCTGCGAAGGTTGGCGCATTTTCAGCTGCCTTCAATTTCACGGTAGTTAGGAATTCGTTTGCGGGACGACTTGCTGGTGGTATTCGTAGGAGTTTCATGTGTCGAAGCCAGTATGCTGTTCGTTCCACGCAGACGCCGGAATTCGGTGTCTCGTGACTCACATAGGTTTGGAAGAACGTCTTTGTTTTTAGGTAGGGTAACAGTGTATCAACCATCTGGATCTTTTTGAACTCCACGTTGAAATGATTCTCTACACTTCTCCTCCAGAGAATAGACGTCCGTGAATTCCACCTCCTCTCGGACGACCAGAAACATGCCATCAACTTTTCCAGGACCTCGGACGTTGAGAAATGACAGTTGACTTATAGGGAATTTTCCATAGTTGAAGATGCTGATTTAAAATAACAGACTTAAAGTGGTCATTTTATACGATAGAGGAGGAGATGACAGAGTTGATAGTTCCGTTAGAGTACGGCAGTGTGAGAATTGTATATAGAGAGTAGAAAGCGAGCAAGGACACCATTGAGGAAGGTACAAATCGGGTTGATCATCTCTCTTTACCAAACTCCCCAGTTGGAGAAGGATGGTGAGGGGTATCCTCCCCAGCCACCACTGGCAAAAAGAGATAATCACCGATTTGCTCATGTACCAACGATGTGTTTGAAACAGTTCTATCGATTGTACCGCACTCAAGTCGTTATCTGAAGGGAGGCATCGTAGGTTTGGAAATTGCAGCTATTGTTACCTCTACCACTGTATGTGCTCCTATCATCGTCGACTTGACGATTTCGAGGAGACACGGGTAGGGGAGGTGCTGCTACTGTACCTTTCGACCAATGACAGTCTGATGGTAAGCATCCCATCAAAAAATGTAGGGAATTGTTAGGAGTTGAACAGCCACCACAAACTACCCTACCGAACACCGAGTCTGTAAGGCTTGGTAGATGTTTGCCAATTGTAATCCTTCGTCCCGATTCGAAGAAGCCTAGCACAATGTCGACTTCCTTGGACGTGAAAAATGCAGGGTCTGTTAGCTCAATCCCGTCCGGTAATATTCACCATTCCGTGTTAATTGAGGCAGTAGGTAGATTCGAAGTCGCATTGAGAATTGACTTAGGGTATCTCTAAAAAACAGTTATCTTGCTCTATTTTTGATTTAAAATTTCTCAGCAGAGTTGTCTTCAGATAACTTTTAGAACTTTGAAGCCGCAATTTTTGCGATGCAGAACTTGTCGATACATTTATTTATTTGTCCAAAAAACGTATTGATTCAATGCATTCTGGCTTCATTGACCCTGTTGCTGTTGAGAAACAAAAAATAATTAAATCAAGTAGATGACTCATCTTACCCCGTGACCCATGTTGCCCCAAAAGAAGCAATTGCTCCATACGAGATTGTTACAACAACATAGCCGAAGAAACCAGCTTCCCAAGGTCCCACCACATGCACATACCTTCTTCTTCAAACGCAGCTGCTCCGGCAAATTCGTCAACACCTCCAAACCCGGCTCCAAACACTTCAACGGTACAATCTTCTTCTGAATGTGATCCGATCCACCGAAACCATGACTGAGAAACAGATTTTCCTTCCTCTCGCTGACCAGTTCATCAAATTCAACAGCCACGCCCATATTGACCTCAGCCAGCTGCAGCACCTCAAAGCACTCCTTGAGAATCTTCGTAGCGACCACGTCCTCTGCAGCCATTCCCGACACCCTGGGAATATTGTGGTACACATTTTCCAACGTCAGAAGATTGTCGTAGTCGAAGATACTGTTGAAGCGGAAGTCCTTCATGCACTTTTCCAAGTTCTTCTCGACGTTACCCTGTTTAAGGTAGCTATTGATTGCACAGTAGATATTGGTGAACGGACAGCAACCCGTTTGGTTGGGTTTTTCGTAAAACTTTTCCAACAGTTTTGAGATAGTAATCTGGGCGTAGAGTCGCGTAGAGAAGTTCTGCGCCATCGTCCACGGCAGCAGAAAGTTAATATACTCCACATCGAGGTAGTTGGTTTTGCAACAGCGTAACCACAGGATTACGAACACGGATTGCACGCCGGACACCTTTACTCTGTCGTTCCTGAGGGAGTTGATGATGGTGAGGGTGTCGATGGAGGAGTCGGCCAGAATCAGCTCGATGAGGTAGTTGATGTTGGGCTGGTTGGTTTCGTACAGGACGATTTCCAGCAGCGAGTAAGGCTTGGTGCCAGTCAGTTTGAAGACCACGCAAAGCGCTTGCATGATTCGGAGTTTGTGTCGATGGGTTTGGGAATCGGCGTAGTAGCGTTCTTTGGATTTCGTTATCTGCTGGAACTTTTCGATCAGCATTCGCTCGAGTTTCAGCAGGAAGAGGGTGGCATCCGGGTGGTTGGTTTTAGCTAGTCGATAGAGGAACAAACCACACAAGATTCTGACACGGGCATCGGATTGCAGTTGGGTTGGTGGGTTGAAAAGGGAACTGCAATTATGACATTTACTGTGAGAAAGACATTGTAGACGTTCTGAAAGAATTACTTACGTGCCATAGAACTTACTCGCTACGCAAGCTTCATCTTCAATTCTAAAAAAAAAACAAAGAAGATTACATTTGCAGATCGGATGAAAGAAATAGTCCAACACTCACCTCTGCTCTCGCTTCTGCCCGTCTCCGAAAAGTAAACCGCTTAGCAGTAGCTTCCCAAACGCATTCCAGTCTAGAAGTGTCTCAATTGGCAACAGAAGCATCTTTTCGAACAGCATATTCGCCAAACCTCCGATTACGACAGCCTGTTCCAAGAAAGCCGTGAAGTAATCGGTGACGACTTCCTTCAACCATCGGTTACTCTCGTCAGATGAATTCGCTTCTCCACTCCATGGAGCCAAAAGGGTAGCGATGAACTTGTTCATCACTTTCAAAAAATGATCTGACTTCCGGTAGATTAGAATCTCCTTGTAGCATCGATTTACTATCAAGGATAGGGTGTGAAAATCAGAATCGTCATTCAAATCCTGTACCTTTTTCCCGAATATAAACGACAGGATTTCGAGCGTGTTAAACAAAACATGGACATCTCCAACGTCGATTAGTTTAGAATAATCCAAAATGATTTGCTTCTTGACGGCACCGTTATCTGAGTCAGATTTTAATCTGAACAGGAACACATCACTCAAAGCCGCAAATACAGATCCGTACAAACTCTTATCGCTGTTTCGTAATTGAATCGTCTTTACCAGCTCGTCCAACATGAATGTGGTGAAAAACTGGTCCACCATGTCCACTCGATGCAGACGGGAGAAGAGGTGAACCAACTGCACCGTGACAGCTATGGCAGGACTTTCATAGTTCAACCTATTCAGTCGTCTGTGGAGAATGTGTATCAGCTTCTGAATAATATCCTCCATCAAGGGAATAAGTTGGCAGTTCTTCCCGACTTCCTTGAATATTTCCAACGATTTGAGGTTAATTTCACAGTCTTCGCTGAAGTGCTTTACCAGGTTATCAAGCTTTATTTTAAGCTCTGCTTCAACGAATGGAAGTTTCCCGTAATGTAGGATCCTGCAAGAAAACACGATATTCAGTTGAACGCACACATTCCTTAGACTGATTCTCACCTGACCGCCAATAGCAAATCCCTATCAAATGTCTGCTTCAACCGCCGTTCGGTCGACGTACGGTCATTCTGCATATAGGGAACGAATACGTCTTTAATGATATTGTCATCCGAAGGCTTCACCCTGGTCAACATCCGTTCGAAGCAACTTCCATCAATGAGCTGCTGGACTCGATTCCAATCTTCCAACTCTGCAAAACTCCTTTGGGTAACCTTCGAAAGCGCATTCATTTGCAACACAGTCCGGTCCAATGAAATTTGGGCACTCAAATCCTCTCTAAGTGCTAATTTCAACAACATCTGTGATAGTTGCAAAGAAGCTAAGCATCGAAGATTTATGTTCTTGATTGTTAGACATTGCTCCGTTAAGTTGTTGACTGATTCCTGCAAGCACGGTACATGAGTCGTTGAATCCAGCAGTTGATCTACCGCTTCCAACATGCAAGTAAACGGAACCGATCCCCAACCGATATCCTTGAGATGATTCATCAAAAAGCTAGCTCCCCCTTCCTCCGAATAGTAATCAACCAAAAGACGTTTAATTCTATCAAAATTCTGAAAGACTGCCGTTCTGTTCAACGCAGCCAGAAAAATCACTTCCAGCTGCTGTCGATTTCCATCAAATTTACTCTTCTCCAATAAATAATCAATCCCCCAACCGGAAACGGCAAGATTTTCATGCCTCAGAATCAATTTAAAAATGGAGTTCTTCCAGGCCGCACTTAGCGAACTCAGCTTTTCAATCAACGGCAGAGCTGGCATTATCAAATGTGTTTGAGACTCGTTCAACGTTTCCAAAATCGTTACAAAACATTGCCACGCTTCGGTCAGCTTCTTTACATCCTTCGCCGTCCATTCAAACAAATCGTTTGCTATACTTTCTTTGATTGCCTCTTTTAAGTAAGCCAGAATGTTTTTGATCACAGACAGGCCCTCCTTTCGCACCAACTGATCATCAGACTCGCAATTAGATTGTATTAATTTCCACGTTTCGATCGATTCTACAATCTTTAAGAACGATCCTTTCATATCCTTTCGCTGTACAACCGTTTCAACCAGATGGCAAAGCATAAAGCTCCGATGTTCTTCCGATATCTTCCGTTCGCCTTCCTGAATTGCTCGATGCCAATCATCGATAACATCAGACCTAAAGTAGATCAACAGTTGCAAACAGGCCAACGATTTCATCCGAATTTGATGCGAATCCGAATAAAGATTCCTCACCAGTTCAGATACATCCATCTGAAGGAAAGCCTTCTGTAACTGATCCTTCTCCAACGATACAATCAACAGTGTCCTCAATACCTCGTAGAATAACGGCAACTCGTGGTACTCAGTTTGAAACTTTTCCACAAACATCTCCACCTTTCGAGCACAGCTCGCAATATCCTCTTCCAACATCACCGTAAGCCCTAGAACATTCAACAGCAGTCCCAAGCATTCCTCGTCCTTCTGCAGGTACAGGTGATTCTGCTCTATCAGCCCCAAAACGTTCTCCAATCCGACAACCCAATTCACCTCCAGTCCCGCAACGTTGCTATTTTTCTGCAATTTCAAAACTAGCATACAGACCGTTGCTTCCAGCGCCGGTTTCTGCAAACGACTAACGTTACCCGTAAATTGCGGTTCATTCCGAGCTAACAGCAACAACTGCTCAAAGATGTTAACATCTCGTAACGCCAAATCGCGGATAAAACTTGTCCTGTAGCGCTGTTCACTCATGATGATCACTTTATAATCCGAGGAACAGTAGTACTAGTTACATGGGAACCGTATTTTAAAACCGGATTTTAGATGCAACAACTAGACATACGACGGAATCAGCTGAAAACAGTCGCACTCACGTTGACTGTTTTGACGGCACTGTTTTGTTTATTTTGGATTTAGTCAAACAAAAAAACACATGTTGATGTCTGCAGGGATGACACAAACTTTTTTTTAAATAATGATTCTCGCTTAACATTTGAAAAGGACCTATCCTCGTTGATCGATTCTCTTCATCGACTATATCTTCGGTTTACCACGGCAACATAAACGAATTTCTCGCTAAGCTCGCAGCACAGTTCGATAGATGATGATGTTAGCTTGCGCTTGAAACAACACACTCCATGGGCAATTCATTTGCAGTCGGGTTATTCGTGAAAAAGAAAATCGATGAAGAGAATCGATCAACAATGATAAGCCCTTTTCTTGTGTTGCACGAGAATTTAATGCCATGCACGCTATTTCAAAACTTCCCCAAATTTGGGTAGAATCCAACCATAACGTTCAAAACTGAACCTACCCAAAAATGGGTAAACTATGTTGGAAGTGACAAGTTGACAAATGGACAACATCGTCATGAATCCGATAGGCTTTGTACATTTGTCTACTTGTCACTCCCAATATATTTCACCCATTTTTGGGTAGGTTCAGTTTTGACCGATCTGGGTGGATTCTACTCAAATTTGGTTAGTTTTGAAATAGCGTGTGTTGCAGAATCCATACGATACACGCTAAAATAATTCAAGCTAAACGTCCCGACCAACCATTTCGTTAATTTTCTTTAATTTTCTATACACAGCAAAAAAAAATGTAATATCGATCAATGTAATTCAAGCTGATGTATTAATTAATGATGTAATAGCAAAAAGCAGATACAATATTACATCAATGGATGTAATTTTGTTCGCAAAATCGATGTACATCGTACAACGTTATATTACACAACCGATGGATTGACCTGGTTGCAGCAGTTTGGATGTAATATTCAACAACTTTTTTTTCTGTGTACATCGATCTTCAAAGCCATTCATAAGAAAAATCTTAGCGATCGTCACCATTTCATGAATAATTGTTAAGATGCTACAAATCTAATCGTGAATCATTTATAAAGGTCTTTCTCAAAGTAGTGCTACCAATCGTTACCAATGTTAAAATATCGATTGTGTTGCCAGTTCAAAATATCGATTTCTGTTGTAAAATCAAAATATCGATAGACAACTGCTGATTTTATTTGTGATTTTTTATCTGCATGATTTCTTGTTTCGATCCCATGCCATCTGGGGTGTACAGATTTCGTTGTTGGTTGCTAATCCTCGGGCTGCTGTTGATGAGCTTATCAACGACAGGCAAACACACTCTAGTATGTGGTGAATTGCAATTTCTGTTAATCTTTTCATGCATGAACTCAATATTTATTTGTCATAACCTGTCATAACCATCAACCAGTCAGCCATGTAGGTGTAATAGAGGTAAAAAAGGTAGAAATTTTCCTCATTGGGTTCCAAATGCCGAGAATCCCACCACGCATGCTATCACGGGTTATTAAATATATAGACGTAAACTTGAAGAACGACAATGGTAACAATGGCGACAATGGTATTAACGAAAGAGAAAGTCGACGAAGAGAATCGATCAATGTTACTTATGTCGTTTTCGTTTTTGCGGTGTAGCTACACCGGTGCTACACTGCCGTACACCGAAATATTTTAGGGTGTAGATACAGGATGCACCTTTGTTTACAAACAATTCATGTTGAGCTGTCAAAGACTCGCACTTATTCCTGTTTACACTACACCGGTGCTACACCGCAAAAACGAAAACGATATTAGGACGCAATGCAACCCCGACCAACCATTCGTGAAACTTCTTCAAAATTCTTTACAGAAATAAAGATTTATGTCGGCAATTCTTTACTTTAAATTTTCTATGATTTCGATGTACACATTTAAAAATCTTTATTGATCGATACTTACATTTAGGATTATTTCTGCATCGGTCATATGATAGTAATCTATAAAGGTGCCATACTAAATTTCTTTTAATTTCGATGTCACATGGACTTTAGTATTCTTTACAAATATTCATTAATAAATATTTAAATACTGATATCATCGTAGCTTTGAACTTTGACAAAGAACAACAAATATTGCCATCGATGCACATTTATAATCTCCTTGTTATCGATTTGCATCGCTGGTTAAAGAGAGTTCGATATACACCAGGTGACAGGTGGCAATGTTTATATTATTTATCGACATATTCGGCATTTCATCGGAAGAAGCAATCTGCCGGTAAATGAATGAGAAGACCGATGGCCGCTGTAGAGTATTACTAGCCTCCGGGCTAAATAAGCTCAGCTTCAGGGAACAGAGAGTTAGAAACACGATGAGCTGTAGGGGGTTCTGTCATGAATAAAGGGATTCTTGTGTATACGGCGTATGAGTAAACACGTTGTTTTATTTCGGTAGCGCTCTACATCACAATTGGCTTCGAGGAGGGATTTTGATTTCATTCGCGGTGGCGGAGGTCAAATCGAATTCAATCCACCGGGTGGCGGAGGCGGAGTAGTTCCGATCAGAGCAGCGGAGAGTTTTGAGGCGGCACGATATTGAAAAACAGGTTAGTAGATGAATTGCAGTGTTGAAAATTCAGCTGGTGTGGAGTTGGTGCCTCCTGTAGGAAAATAAATTACCTGGAGTATGTGGATAAGCAGCAAAAAAAAAAAAATGAAAAACGAAATTGCCAACAAGGTTCGGTTACATGTTTTCAAATAGATGCAACCGTTTATAGATTTTTATTGTATTTTTATGGTCATCTTATCTGTCAATGTTTTTTTTGGGGAAAGGCGGATCGTGAAGTGAGTCGGGAAAAGTGGATGCTGATAACGCTGAAATGCTTGGTGAAATGCATTATGCAGACGAATGATAATTGTTTAGAAAACAACTGAGTAAGAAACTCAACCAGTTTTATTTTTTCCAACTTCAAAGCTGTTGGCTTTGGGGAAAAAAATCAATGGCTGCTGGCCTTGATTAGAATATCCAAACTGCTAGTTTGGAAGACATACGATTTAGATTTCGGTGACTGCTGGTCTCGAATTAATGTTGTGGAATACATAATAACTGATAGTTGGAAAAAAGGCGAAAAGATTAATCCTCAAGCGGAAAGATCAGTGGCTGTTGGCCTTGATTGGGTTAAAATTTTCGATGACTGTTGGTCTCGATAATAGTACAGAGGAAAATAACTGATGGTTGGTTTTCCGTAATCTTTTAGTTTGAAACAGGAAGACTTAAGGATGATAAAAAAAAGGTTCAATGGCTGCTGGCCTTGACAATATTCGCAGCTGTAAGTTGTGAAAATGCTTGCTAGATTTTCGATGACTGTGTTATCGATAAATATACAGTGGAATAAATAACTGGTGTTCGATGATAAACGTATGGTTGGAATTATTGGAAGCCATGAACTGTTAAGATGGAACAATATCAGTGGCTGCTGGCCTTGTTTTAAATATTCGAAACTGTAAGTTGAACAAAGAATTGCTTTAGAACGCCAAACAGTTTGATATGATAATTGAAATAATTACAAACGTTACTTTAATTAAAAAGCTGGAAGTTAAAAAAAATTAGAATATTAAGCATGCATGCTGTGTTTTTCCACATACTCCATGGTCTGAAACTAGAAGTAAAAGAGCAATATAGTAATTGGTGATGCTCTATCATAAGATCTGTTTTTTTTAACTTCAATAGATGGATGGAGTCGTTCCGAGCGGTGAAGCCGTTCGACATGAACGTAGAAGAAATACATCTAGCGTCAGAGTGGGCCAGATGGAAAAGGCAACTCGAATGCTATTTTCGAGCGTGTGGTATAAATGATCAATCCGATATGTGTGCAAAGCTATTGTACCTCGGGGGTCCAGATCTTCAGGACCTTCATGAAAATTTGCCGGACGCAAAACGAGTACCCTTGATTTTGAGTAACCCTCCTTACTATGATGTGGCAGTCGCAGCTTTTGACGCTCACTTTGAGCCAAAACGTCTGGTGGCTTATGAACGGTATGTGTTCAGACAGATGACACAGAAGGCTTCTGAAAGGATCTCTGACTTTGCACTAAGATTGCGCGTACAGGCAAAACGATGCAATTTCACCCCGGACAATTTCGAAGAAATGATCACTGATCAAATCACAGAGAAATGCTATTCAGATGCTCTACGGATGGAGATTCTTAAACGGGATACCAGATCTTTGAGTGAAATAATCTCTATGGGAACAACGATGGCTGATTCGAAGGAAAAGTCTATGGAAATGGCTAAGAGTGTACTAGGCAATAGAGGGGAGATGACCGTCAATGCAGTCAAGGGACAAAGTTACAGACCAAAGCAGAAGTATTTGGGACGAGCACCGGCTATGAATTGAGGAGTTGTCATGACATGTTTTGCATGTGGACGGGCTGGTCATTTGAAGTCAAGCAAATGGTGCCCAGCGAAAGATGTCAAATGTAATAAATGCCATGCGATGGGACATTTTGCCAAATGCTGTTTTTGAATCAATGTGAACAAAAGTTCAGCATTTTCAGAGAACCGTAAGAGAACAATGCCAGATAGGAGCGAGTGGTCAGAGCGGCCGGCAAAGCGTGTAAGAGCAGTAACAGGAGATTTGGACGAAGACCAAGATAAGGGAAACATATTTTTCGCAATGGGACGTAACGTATTCCATTTCATGATTGGAGGTGTCGAGGTGCCAATGACGATTGATTCTGGGGCGGACGCGAATATTATTTCTTCAGCGGTCTGGAAGCAAATGGAAGAAGCAAAAGTTCAAGTGCAACACTTGTCGGAGAAAGGAGACAGAGTTTTGAGAGCATATGCCAGCAAGGAGGCTTTGAAAGTCATCGGGATGTTTACAGCTGAGATTCAAGCAGGTCAGGAAAAAGCAAACGCTAAATTCTACGTCGTTCATGGAGGTAGCCAGTGTTTGCTCGGCGAGGAAACAGCCTCGGAGTTGCGGGTGCTAAAAATCGGTTTTGACAATGTAACATCTATTGAAGCGGCGGGCAGTTTTCCAAAAATAAAAGG